TAACAGATTCAACTTGATGGTTAACAATGGAGTTATCAGATCATTGACATCAGCAACATACAAATCTTCTTCAATGGCATTGACATTTCGGCCGTGCTTCGGCATGGGAGCAGATATCCCATTAGGCTTCTCCGGAGCGTCAAACTCCACCTCCTTCGCCTCTATCAGGTCTTGGATTTTATGCTTGAGTGCCCAACAATCATTGGTGTCGTGCCCGACACTGTCAGAATGGTAGGCGCATTTAGCATTAGGATGGTAATGCGGAGAGGACGTATTCACATTTTTTGGTGCCTCTTTGATAGTGGCGAGATTCAACTTTAACAGATGGGGAAGCACTTGCGCTGGAGTCATATTAATACGGGTGAACTGCCGTTGTGTCCGTTCCACCCGTTGTTGATTTGGTCTGGATTGGTTATAGTGAGGCTGCTCACTTGAAGGGTTTTGAATCATTACGGCCCCCACGGTCGGCCGGCGCTCAGTCTTCCCTGCTCTTCTCTGGGAGTATACAACAGCCGTTTCTTTCTTGAAAGGTTTCTTCTCAACACTTGCAGCGGCACCCTTCTGAATCTTTCCTGACTTGATGCCAGCTTCTATTCTTTCGCCTGTTAAGATCAAGTCAGTAAACCCCGCGGAAGAGTTACCAATCAGATGATTGAAAAATGGCCCAGATAGGGTCCCTAGAAACATATCAACAAGTTCACGGTCGGTTAAAGGAGGCTGCACCCTGCCAGCCAAATCCCTCCATTTTTGTGCAATTCTTTGAATCCTTCGCCTGTTCCCAATGACATACCCTGAAGTTGGGTACGCGTAGGAGCAAGGTCAGAATTGTACTGATATTGTTTGTAAAAGGCGGTGGCCAAGTCTTCCCAATTTCGGACGTTGGTTCCTTCTAGCTGATAGAACCACTCCAATTGAGCCCCAGAAAGGTTGTCTTGAAAGAAATGGATCCAAAGGTTTTTATCTGCCGTATAAGGTTGGATCTTTCTTACGTAGGACCTGAGATGCATTTTTGGACAGGACAGCCCATCATACCTCACAAAAACTGGCACTTTGATCTTTGGGGGAATCACAATCCTGGCAACTAAACCCAAGTCTTCGAAATCCAAACCCGGCACCCTTTGTAGCTCCATGGCGGCCAACCTGTCTTCTAAACCTTTGTATTTATCATCAGCTGGAGGGTATTGTTGATCAGAGTAGTCTTCATCCTCTTCGACCTCCTCTTCTTCCACATCGGACTCGGAAGGTACCGCAGCCCCACCTCCTTTACTGGTCCCTTCATCAGAAGTAGGAGGAAATTCAAGCACTCTCCTGGTCTCTCCTTCAAATCTTCTCCCTAAAGTAGCCACCCCGAGTCTCTTTTTCTTCTTTTTCACTGGGTCTTTGTTCCCCAGCAAGGTCTTGAGATCCTCCTGACCCTTAGCCAAGGTCATCAGGAGTTGCTGGAACTGTGCATTTTGAGCTTGTAGGTCTTTGACTGTTTGCTCGAGATCCATCCTACTGAAATAAACAGCAGACAGATAAGGAAACCTGGCGTGAGACCTGCTTATGCACATGATGAATGGTATGCTTATGTATGCAATGCATTCAAGGATTTAGAATATTCAAAATTGTTGCAGACAAAGAAGAACGCACGTCATATTAATAAGAAGAAATTTGTTAGTACATAAAGGCCCCATGGGCCAAATATTACAAAAACAACTTCTCAAGGTAAAAAGACATTGCGCATCCTCTTTGGTGCGATGTAGGTGTTGAGGGCCTCTTGCTCATGGAGTCGGCGGGTAAGCTCTAGAACCTTCTTCTCACTAGCGTAGAAGCTGGCTTCAAAAGTGTTTCGTTCCTCCTTGAGCTGAATCCAACTCTTCTGCATTTCCTCCCACGACGTAGGCATGTCAGGATATAGGATGGTGTAGGGAACCTCTCCTTCCTTAACAGGCTCTTTAATCACAGGGAGAACATGAGGATAAGGCATCATTAGACTCTGGGATCGGGCTCGTACCCACTTGAGGTAAGGTTCAAGAGGGATGGAATTCTTGTGTCCCAGTGTCTTGCTATCAACCTTGTTGGGAATCCTCCAAGCTCTGATGAATCTTTGGCGAAGTCCTTGCGCATCGTTGTCGAAGTCAAAAACTAGGTCAGGAATCAACATGTCATGAGGGCCATCCCTCCGTGCATATCCAAATTGCCTCAAAGCTAGGCAAGGGTTATAGGTAATGCCCCCTCTGATTCCAAGTAAAGGAACATTAGGAAACTCTCCACAATGATCGATGATGATGACATTTTCTCTGGACCGAGAACACCAATGTACATCAGAGTGAGTAAGAGTCATCAACCGTTGGGACCACCTTGAGCCTTGGTCATTCTTCAAGACAGATTGTGGAAGATGCGAAATAAACCACCTTGCAAGGAGAGGAGTACAACACATGAGAACACCCCTCTTTCTCATTGTTCGTGTGTAAAATGAGTGAAGAATGTCCCCAAGCAATGTTGGTATTGGATTTCTGGACAAGAAGATTTTGACGGCGTTGACATCTACCAATTGGTCAGAATTTGGGAATAGGACCAACCCATAGATAAGGAGTGCCACAATTTCTTCAAAGGTTTGTAGGTCTAATGAATTCCAACATTCTTGTGCTTTCTCGAACAAGAATTTTGCTAAGAATCCTTTGACGCCTCTTCTGGTTTCCCAATGCCCCTTGATGTCAGATGGTTGTAGATGTAATGCTCGAACAACATCTTCCGGCTTTGGTTCCTTTTCCGTACCGTTGAAGGGTAGTTTATTAAGGATAGGGATTCTTAGGAGTTGAGAAAACTCCTCCAAAGTGGGCACCAACTGGTAATCGGGGAAAGTGAAACAGTGGTGAAGAGGGTCAAAGAACTGGAATAGCACTTTCATCATATCCTCTTCAATGTTGGTGTTGACTAAGCTGAGCAGTCTACCATGTCTTTCATTGAAGGATGAGCTTTCTGGAATTCTTGAGGTGAGCTCCTTGAGCTGAGGAGAGATTCTCACAAGGTTGACTTGGATGGTTTTTCTGCGAGGAATTTCCATGACCTACAAAACAAGAACAAAGATGAAGATCTAAACCCTTGAAATGGTTAGTGAATGCATATGATGCTTTATGATGTTTATGATATATGCACAAAACATATGTACAAGCAAATCACACCAAACCCTAGTTTCGGGCTTGCATGGGGGTTCATAGGTAAGTTGGCTTAAAAACCTGTCCTATAAATAGTAACCGGGTTCTAAGGAGCTCAATATCATTGGATTGTTTTCAATGTTCATTGTTTTGGTTTAGCCACTTAACTAGCGACCAAAATATTCCAAGAAAATAACCCTCAATGAGTGTAGTATCGAGTATCTACCAACTTCGGACTACACCAAAGCCGGTCATCTCACTACCCCTAATGAAAGGCCAAGATGGTCAAGTAAGGTTCTAGGTCATTAGTGCTTAGTGACATCACTCATCGGCCCCGTACTCTCCTTGATTGAACTCAAGGGTTACCGGTACTCACAAATATGTCGCACTAATATAGCTATTGCTTCGACCGTGTCGGTATACCCCGCACAGTTTCTACAACGTATTGCTATCTATGAATGTTTCCCAAAATCCGGGTGTAGGATTGCAAACCCAAACAAGAGAGCCAAGATATAAAGCAATCAAAACAAACAATTAATCATGCAAGAAGGTGATCTAAGCCCTAAGGTTACTCCACTTTTAAACATTTTCCCCAGCAGAGTCGCCAGTTCTGTGATACGGTGGGAGAACTGACTATGGTTTTGCGTTTGTTTTCGCAAATGTTTTGGTTGAGCAAGAGTCGCCACCGACTTTTTATTTTATCTTAAGGAAAGGTTTAAAAAGCACAGCAAAAACCTTTGAGATATTTTCTTGGGTTCGGGGAGTAGATTATAGAAAGGGAAGGTATTAGCACCCTTTCTATCCATGGTTATCCATGGGCTCTTAGGTACTTGCTTAGATCAACTTGCCTTGGTTTTCAATTGTTTGAAATGGTGCTTTGTGTGTGGTTTTGAAAATGTTTTGAAAAAGATGCCTTGTCTAGGCTACCCTTGTAACAATTCTTTACTCGAATGTTTTACAAAAGGTGTTTGTCTTTTTGAAAAGATGTTTCAAGGTTTTTTGAAAGTTTTGTTTTGAAAGTGTTTGTGAAGTATGGTTTGAAAAATAGGCAAGTGTTTTTGTTTTGCAAGTTGACAAGTACTTAAGAGCCATCTACCCTAAAGTTCTCAAAGATTTTTGCTATGTTTTAACCCTTTTAACAATTTTGTTCCACCATTGCATTTGGTGGACAATCTTGTGTTAGGATGTGAAAGGGACGGGCGCGGGTCATCGTTTAGACCATAATTGCAATGGTGCCAAGTATCCTCTCCCTCTTTCATCTCATAATAGCGCCACCGCGACTATCCCTTCTCACCTCTTGCCTCCTCCTTCTCCTGGCTTCTGGTTCAGTTCGCCTTCATCAATTCACAATTTCAACGCAACCTTGTTCTTACCATCTTTAATTCAAACCACCACCGTCCACATCACAGACGTCGTTGCAACGATTCTCTTCCAATTGCCTCGCCGATCAACACCTCTTCTCAGTCTTACGCATTCACCATTTCCATATCAAATCAAATATGCAAACCACAGTGCATAGAAAAGCTAGGAGTTCGGATTACAACCTCATAGTGATAATAGAAACAATGTAAAACTCATGGAGGAATAAGACTTACCGACCGGAGAACTCCAGTGGCTCTTCAACAACGACGTCACTGATAAAAACTCAAGTATGCGTCTCTTAGCTCTGAATCTACGTGACTCTTCTTCTTCTACATTTTTTATTCTGTGTGTTTCCGTTATTGTGTTTTCTGTTGTGGTAATTGTGATATTGCAGATTCAGCGGTGTCGATGCAACGAAGATGATGTGTAGCTTGCAAAATGGATAGAAAAGATGTTTGTTGCCGTTAAGCAGGGCTGATTGAGGGTTGCACGCAGAAGATGATGATTGAAGCGAGGTTAATGCAGAAACTTCCCGATGATTGCAGAGAGAGAGGGCGGTTGAAATCAGGTACATAAGAAGCTTCTCCAGCAACTGATGAAGGTTCAAGAATATCTAAGCGTGGAAGAGAGTAATCTCAGAGGTGAGCCCTTTCTTGATTTTTCTCCTCAATATGTTGTGAATCCCCTTTCAATTCTGTCACCCATCCTCTTTCCATTCTGTTACCACCTCCTCTCGCCTTCCCAAATCTCCTATTTGTTATGACTTCTGTTAGGCTTTTGTTAGAAATTTAGTTGGAAGATGGTTAGGAGTCTGTACTAGGTTGTAAGAATTATGTTATTCGACTTAGTTAGGAAGGTCAAGATCCCGCTTAGTTATTTAGAGATCTGTTATTCAGTTACCGTTTCCTGAATTAACAATTTCTTCTTTCTGACTTAATTTTTTTTTGTTATTCTGTTAGTTTGTTGTTGGAGCATCAACAGGAACCAAATTCTTTAATAGCTTGGAAGGGGCGTCAACAGGAAGCGAATTATTCAATGCTTTGCAAACTCAGGAAGAAGATTTTGCCTTGAGTCGACTCGGGGCCCTGGTTTTCGTAAAAGTAGCTTTACAAAATGTGAATGGTCTTCTGTTTTTAATCTGGTTATAGGGCTGCATATGGTATAAAAAGTTGCAGCATGGCTGATTCTGTTCTTGATTTTATGATTATTTTTCTCTACTTCTGAACTGTCCTAAATTCTGGCTTTCTCATTTTCAGATTTTTGTTTTAACTTCTCCTTTGAAATGATTTTGCAGCTTGTTTTTCGTATGCGAATGCGGACGCATGTTCGGTTTAGGAATTAGGACAGCTGAACTATTCTTTCTCTCTGGTTTTATGTTCAGAACTTTTACTTCTGATTTTATATCCTGCTCTGATTTTTATTGAAGCTTGGTTTGTGTTTGAACTTTTGATTCATGGACTGTTTTATTTGTAAAGTATAGGGTTGTGCAAATCTGAGCAGCAGGTTGGTATCAGGGCTATTAATAGCATACCATTGGACTTGTCCTAAAGGTGCAGCCGCTTATGCATTGTTATGGTTGGTCTTTGGAAGCAGGAAGTAGATTTAAGGGTCACGAAATTGATACTTTGGATAGAACATGTATGAAACTTGACTAGTATTGAGTGAACTTTGGAATGTATTTGAATATATCTCAATGAGTCAAACTTGATTGGAACTTTTCATGTAAATTAATGGAAACAAAATCATGAACACGTTTAGATGGGGCTTGAAGAAAATAAAGTTGATAAATTTTGACTTTATGTCTATTTTAAACCAATACTTATGTGCAACTCAAGCTTTCATAAAAGATTGAGTCTTAATTGACTTCAAATGCCATGCTTGATCCTCGATAAAACTTTAACTCAACGTTTGAACCTTAAGGTCCAGTTGACTTGTATTTGAAGCAACAAACTTGATAAACCCATACTCCTTGCCTTTAATATATTCAAACCCCCCCTTTTTTTGCAATGTTCTCAAGACCTTAACCCCTTGACATCATAAGCATTTGTGAAAAAATGGCTAATCTTTGCAATATGGAATCCATAACATTTGAATGGACCTTAGTCAAAAGTCTCATCTTGATGATAATGAATGAATGAATCTTGATTTTTAAATGGTGCTTGAACGAATCTTAAAACATCCCTTGAATACCTTTTTAATTCTCAATTCAGATCCAAACCAACTTATATGACAAGTAACAAACAATGGATATAATGACAAAGGCCTTTGTAAATCAAATTCTCGATGATCCACTTGACTAGATTTTGAACTCAGATTATACTTTGAATTTGTTACTTGAAAATTATATTCCAACCAAACCATATGCATGAATTCTATTGAACCGATCTTGAGAGAAACCTTTCACAATAATGAATCCATTCTCTACTTCACTCTTCAAATTCAAATTAACTTATAAAAAATCAAGAAGTTGAAGAGATAACAAATCCTTGATTACAAATAATCTCCAAGCTCCTACCATGTTGTATTACTTGCTCTTTAGTCAACAAAATATTATGCTGAAAACCCAAAGCCACACTTAATCACTTGGCAAGTCCACAAAAAAGAAGTCCTTGATTAATTTCTCTAACTTCCTGAAATGAAAGTCTTATGTATAAATAAATGAAGAGAAACCTAGCATGATGAACCTCTGTTGAAGATCTAATATCAAGATCAAGCATAACATAAGAGAAACCCTAAATGATCTCGCATTACGTGCACATTAATGAAGAAGACTTGAGATAGCGCAGGGAACCAAACTCCGACTTCAGAACCTCTTATATCTCGAATAATTCTTCTAGTGAAAATGTCTATGATGTTTGCAATCTAAAACCCTAGTTCCATAATAACGATGATAGCACTAGCTGAATCAACTTGAGAAAGGTAGCAATCTCATTCCATAAAAAAACCTAATGCCAAAAGCTCTTCGATCTTGTAACCATGGGACCAATGCTATGTATGAGATGTAAAGAGTATGATGAGGGATCTTAGGGGGAAAAATTGGGTTGTAACAGGTCATTACAAGGAGCATTCTCATTGGGTCAAGATTAACACACAAGTGAAAGATACACCACATATTCATCCAAAACCTTAAGGTGATAGGTGTATGGGTCACATCACTTATAAATTTCTCAACCTCCACTTGCAATATGGGACTAACAACTCACACTTGTACACAACAATCTCCCCATCAAGTGTGAGTCCATACACTATGCTCCCCCTTAAGCAGAAATTCTTTCATCTATGTACACATGTACCACCGTTAACACTCTTTAACGAGACACCTCCTATCCACCACGTCTAGGGAGTACTTTTGATACAATCAAGTTTGTCCCTTCACTCGAAACCAGGCTCTAATACCACTGTTAGAGGCAATTCGGGGGTCAATACGAGAGAACATTTTAATATTGGTTCTAGAGTAACACACAAGTGAGAGATACACCACCTATTCACCTAAAACCTTAAGGTGATATGTGTGTGAATTCTCTCACTTATAAAGTGTTTAATCTTCCATTTCTTAACTAATGTGGGACTTCTTCCTCACACTTGATTCTCAACACATCTACACCTAATTCTTTAACACCCATTAGAGAAGTGTGTCTCCCCCTTACCTTGATTTTCCTATCAAAATTATTTAGAGTTCTTTCAATGGATGCTCTTCTTATGCCCCAGCCCTTGCCTTTTCCTCTTTCCACCAAATTCTGATTTTACGTCTGAAAATCTCTCACAACTCCTTACTAATATTTTATTAGTAAACTAATCTATCAACTAGAGACTTCCAAGATTACCTTCACTTATCCTCTATTCACCAAAATTCCCTTACCATTCTCTAATTTTTTTAAAAATAATACTACTATTACTACTTATTTTTCTATTATTTTATTATTCTAATACAATTATTTAATTTAATTAAATAAACTCTTATTATTTAACTATCAAAACAAGTCTAAATAATTTTAATTTATCCCAACTAACTTCTACTCCAATTGATTATTCAACTACCCCAATCCATCAATCTAATAAAATACACAAAATCATAATTAATTCATAATTAAATATATTAAATAAACTAATTGAAAATGGGGTGTTACAAATCTCATCCACTTATAAAATTTTCTCCCTCGAAAATTACCTCAGGAAAACAAAGTTAGATACAACTCTATCATATGCTTCTCACGCTCCCAAGTCATGCTCCTATCAACTAGTCATCCCCAAAATACCTCCACCAAGGCAATATCTTTTCCACGCAACTGCTTCACTTCCTAACCTTCTATCACTATGGGTGATGTCTCCACACTCAGGTAATCTCTCACCTTCACATCATCTACTTGTATCACGTGATGTTGTAACCGGTTTTTAAAATGAGAGTCGCCACCATTAATTTTTATCATAAGGAAGAGTATATAAAGGTTAACCATAATTTGGACAAAGATTCTAAGTTATTGACTCACTTTAGACGATGGGAAGGTATTAGACACCCCTCTTCTACCTTGTTCACAAGGATACTAGGGTTTAGAAACGCGATCTTTTAGAAATAGGATTTTAGTTTTTATTAGGGAAACTCGCCAAGATTTTAGTCGTATGCCTACGTATCCTCTTATGAGGAATCAGAGTCTCAATTCGTAGTTCGAAGTTTGGTTGGTGTTTTTTATAGGATTGCATAAAATTTCTTTTGAATTATCCTTGAACGTTGTCTGGGTTTAAAAAGTGAGTGATCGTAGATGCAGTTCGCAGTTAATTTGAAAATAATTCTCTTTAATCATTTTTCGAAAATGATCTTGGATTTTTATTAGGTTAGTAGAAAAATGATTTGAATTGTTGGTTAGCTGTTTTAAGTTTGACTTAATAACGAATATGATAAGACATATAGCGGAGAGTCTGATATAGTCTCCTCATCACATAGCTAGATATTAGCCACGTGTCGCTCGCGAATGGTGAATTTGGTGAACTACGTAGATTTTAATTGTTTGATTTTGAATAATAAACCGGTAGACGATGTGTCGACTTATTTAATTACTCGAAGATGAACATCCTATTATTTGTAAAAATATTTAAATTAATTTGATTAAAATTTAGAGAAGACGTACAAGAGTGATGAATTATTTTTGCTATTTTTTAGGAATGTTTTGATGAGAAAAACTAACTAACCTAATTATTTAAATAAATTAAACTAATTAAATTAAATAAAAGAAACTAAAAGATTGGGAGGTTCTAAGTGAATTAGGGGGTATACATTAATAATATGAACTTATGGGCTTAAGGCCCAAACTAATGTCATAATAATCTAAACCCAAGTGAATAATAAAACAAAACAACAAAATAATGTGGATAGAAGGTCTGCGCTCACTACCGTCTGTGCCAGCAAAAAATTGTTTCATTTTTTCATATAGCATCTAGCATATGGTCGCCGACACGTGGCGGTTCTAAAAAAATAAAACAAATAAATAAACTATTTGATCCGGTATTTGTTCCTACTTCGACTGTGACAGCGTGGGGGTGATGGATCCGGGTTGTGGTTGTGCCGATGGAGGACTCACGGTGGCTTCAGAGGGAAGCTGTTCTCGAGTCGAAGCGTTGGCCCAAACATTGTTTCATTTTGATGCTTCAGTTTCTTTTCCTCTTCTTCTTTGTTTCTATTTGATTCAACCTGCAATTAACAAAAGAATAGATTTGTTAAATTTGATTATTCGCTACGGTTTGGTTTGACAGATGATGATTGTGTTGTTAGCCTGGTATTGATGAATTTACAGGTTCAGATTAATGTTCATGAAGGGTTTATGGCTCTATTTTAGAGAACAAAATTGTAGTGAGTTTTTCTTTGAATGGTCCGTAAGGTTGATGGAATTGGATAATAGTTAGTAGTAAAAACACGCAACAGTTTGAAGGATGAATTAAAATTGGTGGATTGATGAAGTAAATAAAAAAGGTTTGTTTTGGTGAAAGAGACGTGAAGCAAAACGTTAAATCAGAGTGTATACATCGTGTGATAGTGAACAATGTGAAAATAACGACCTTAATGCAATATGTTAGTATAATATATATATATATATATATATATATATATATATATATATATATATATATATATATATATATATATATATATATATATATATATATATATATATATATATATATATATATATATATATATATATATATATATATATATATATATATATAAAACACAATAAATTCGAACCCACAACCTCATACTTGCAAGTTTCATTCCTTACCAACTGTGTTATGTTACTTATTTGAAATAAAAAGTCAATTGAAATTATACGAAGGTCAAACAAATATTTATTTATTCAAAAATACAAATGATCTGAAATAAATCATTATATTTTTAAATAGGTTTGGAAGCAAATATTTTAAAAACCCCAAAATGTTAATGTAATTAAAGTAAAGGAATTTTAAAACCCAAGTTTGAAAATAAATTTGACGGTAGCACCGAAGGCGAGAAAATTTGGGGTATGACAATATTTTGGGGTTTTTAAAATCCAAGTTCGAAAATAAATTTGAGGATAGCACCTAGAAATAGTAAAGCAGCAATAGAAAGAA